AAGAATTTTCCAGAGACAACCTATCTTTTCAATCAGATATACCTGAGAAGCAGACAGATGGAGGGGAATACTGTCCACAATCATTCTTGTCAGCAATGTAAATCTCTCTCTAAGTGCAACATTGAATAATCATTCAAATCCAAGACATTTTAGCAGGTACGGTTCACACGTTCAGTTGCCAGCCATGCAATGTTGAGAAACTAAGTGAAATGATACCAAGCTGCGATTGTGCATGTGTGAATTAACTTTTAAAATTTTCCCATAAAGAAAATAAGAAAATAAGAAGAGATGGAACTTTCAAGAAAAGAAAGTGAAGGTATAACAAGTGACACAACTTAGAAAGACGCTGGGAACACACAGCAAATTAAACTGCTAAAGATACCTGGCATAATACAGATGTCTAAGGCAAAGTAAAGTGGAAGGCAGAAAAAAGCAATAGCTTTGATAACATTAACTGCTAACTACCCACAGCCAAGGAGAAGATACATTCCTCCCCCACAAAAAAAAACAAAAAAAAACCCAACCCTGCACATCTATCAAAGACATAATAAGTAGTAAAAGGGAATTTTAATTACTCTAAAATTCTTTTAGGAGCTATGTATGTGGTCTGTCCAGGGAATCTCTGAAGGAGAAGGCGGTCAGAGATTTTGATCCTAAGAGCTTTGATCCTAAGCAACAGGGGGGAAACAGTCAATAAACAGCATAGCAGTAATGGGAACACTGGTAGAAAGTGATGCACTTCTATCTCCTGCCTCTGAGAAATCTCTGAGATGGATGAAGCACCAGATGATTAGAAGAGGGCAATGCTTGCTTCTATCAGAAATAAAACCAAAAAACCAAAACAGAAAGTGGGGAACAGAAGACAGAGAACTATCAAATAGTTCAGGCATGTCAAATTCAAGGCCCGCAGGCCAGATTCAGCTCATGAGGTGGTTAGATTTAGCCCATGGAGTCACCCTGAAACGGCAAGGGACTGGGCCCTGCTGCCTCAGCCCAGACTGGCGCAGGTGCTCCCCTGGGTATGTACACCATGGGCATGTACACCATGACGGCGTGGGCTTAATTTTGTAAATTAAGAGGGTTGTGGATATAGGCTGTTCAGGGAACATAAAATTGTCTACTATTGGCTAACAATCAGAATCCTCACAGATTGTTGCCTCGTCCTGCCTTGCTTCACCCGGCTTCACCCCGCAGTGGCACCGGCAGCAGCAGCAGCCTTGAGGAGGAGGTAAGTATGGCCGGGCACCTCTTCAGGGAAGTGGAGCTGGGCTGGGCTGGATTGCAGGATCCTAGTGCCCCAGGAGTTCGGGGGCCAGACTGGGCATTTGCCCTCTGCTACCCAGGGCTACCCAGGGCTCTGGGCAGCCAGTGCTGCCATCCAGGGGTTCTCCAAATGGCCTGAGAGGGACAGTGAGGCTCCTCTGGTGGACAAGGCTTTGGCACTCACCACAGTCTCACTGTTCTGCCCCAGATTTCATAAACTCCACTCAACAGCCTACTCGGGATAGGGGTTTTTATTTAGAAAGACAGGAATTCACAGCATTCACTGACAAGGCTCCAGGTCACACATCCTTAGGTGATTCACAAGCTGTAGCAGTCTCTGAGTTCCCCCACAGGAAGCCTCAATTAGCACTTCAATCCCAACACAAAGAATCCTGACCAACCCAAAGAAATCCTGGCAAGGAATCTGCCGGAGGGAACTCTTCTGGAGCATGAACGGATATCTCCGACAACCACGCCTCCCACACCTCTCCTCCTTATATCCCAGCCAGGGAAGGCTTGTTAACGTCTCCTTCTTTTTCTTCTTAGCTGTCTCTCCACCTGAGCGTGAGTAGATAGGCCCTGCTCTGCATCTGGTTCTGAGACCTCCTGCTCCTCAGAGCCTTTCTCCAGCCCCAATGGTAACCCAGGCACCCCCTCCATCTCCTCTGACTCAACTGCCATCTCCGCTGGCAGTCAACGAACCACAACACTCCTCCAGTGGAGACCTCCAGATCCCCCTTCCAGCCTTCCTGGTCCCCCACAGGTGCCCCTCAACGTGAACAACATCGAGCTGGCCACACCCAGCCAGCCATGCCCAGCCAGCCACGCCCACCTGTTTGATGGCAACCATAATGCTGATGCAGCCCTCAATGAAATTGAGTTTCCCTGAACTAGTCAATCCATGTGCAGATGGGAGAAACATTGAGGAGGAGGGAGAGGAATAGGGAAGGAACATTAATTTCCTAGAAAACAGAAGTTAATTTTAAAATAAGATTTGATGGGACAGAAAAGGAGCAGAACCACTGTAACATGCTGCCTCCAACCCTCACAAGTAGTTTCACATACTTAAAGGCACTGGTGAAAGGCATTAAATGCTTCTGATAAGTTCAACACGAACTTAGCAAGTGAAGCTAAACAAATACTGTTTATGAAGTTAGGGTAAATAACCCATGGTACACAGGCAACACTCTTGTATCCAATTTGCAGCAATACTAGCACTCTCAGATTATACCTCTAATAATGGCAAAATAGCATCAGAACTTGCATCAATTTCTAAGTGGTATAAGAATGGGAAATTAAGCAGTTTGCCTCTAGGGGGTGCTCTCTTCCTGTCCCCACCATTATTATTATTTTTTTCAAAAAAAGAAAAAAGGCTAAAAGAAATGGTCAATATCACAGCATCACTGGATAACCTCCTGCAGACACCTTTCAGAAAGTTAAATTCAACTACACTCCCCCAAACATTTAAACTTTACCTTCTCCAGGGTTAAGGCACTGAAATTGTGAAGTTAATCTAAGAGGAATGTCATAAAATTTGAGATGACATTGATGTAAATTTCAACAAAATCTTTCTTATTAGCTTTGATAGATTTATATCAAAAAGCCATACTGGAGCTAACAAGATTACAAGCAACCTTTTAATTTTGAATTATAAATTAACACTAGTAAATTTAATACAATTGCATTTACATACATTAAAAGCTATTCAATACATCATATATCATAATTTTAAGTGAAGTTCTTCCAAAGTTCTTAGGAAGCTGCCCAATTCTATCTGAACCAAGTTATCAAGCTATTCATTCATCATCTCCAGGAGTTTACATAGTCAATCTATTGAGCAATTCATCTCTTCCTCTTTCCCTTTCTGACAGTGGAAGGAAAGATGCAATGCACAAAAATAGTCAAGATTCAAACACAAATGAATGAATGAATGAATCAAAACAATCCATAGATATTCCTGTTTCCGATTTTATCGGGGTAGGGCAATGACATCTAAAAAAATCCTGTATAGCAATCAAAGAATCTGCTTTTTGCCCATATGTGGACTGTACTGAAAATTATAATTTTGGAATGCTCCTTTTATACATGTACACGTACACACACACACACACACGTGTGTGTGTGTGTGTGTGTGTGTGTGTATACACTGCTTAAAAAAATAAAGGGAACACAAGCAGAAGACATCCGAGATCTGGATGAATGAAATAGCCTTATTAAATACTTTGTTCTTTACATACAGTATATATATCTCGGTGTGTGTGTGTGTGTGTGTGTGTGTGTGTGTGTGTGTGTGTGCATATGTATGTATGCATAAATATGTATATGTATGTGTGTTAGGGGGTTCAAAAAAATAGTTCAGCCAGTAAAAAAATTAGCAACCCTAGTAGCCTAGTTTTGTATCTGGGATGAATTCTGTACATAATGAGGAAACAGACCCCATTCCCCAGAAGGCAGCTCCTGCAATCAGAAATATATCTCTTCAACTTTAAATACCTTTATTTTGCTTTTCAATCAGAAAGTTTTCTCAGCAATGGTAGAATCAAAATGTTACTAATGAGATCCTCCAGTCCAGCAAGGCCTGTTTGTCATTTGAATCCTTTTTGTTATGAGCCAAAACATTTACAAATAACTGGAGCATATTGCGCTAAATAATCATTGAGATCTGCATCTGTCCAACTATATCTTAAAAGTGATCCATAGAGCCTCTGTAGATTGGCATACCTCCTGTCCTGCTAGTTCAAATTGCATTTGCATTCTAGAGGAAGCTATTCAAATGTCACTCCGCCATCACAAATACATTCAAAAAGCTAAATGCCAGCAAACCCATTTTTGCTTTGTAAACATTCCCAGAAAAAAAGTAATTACGGTAAGCTTACAAGTAGACAAATACCCCCAAATAACAGTCAAGCAATACTGCCTATGTTTTTTTTCTCAAAGAAATCTGCACATCCATCTCAAGACAGGAACACTAGATGGATATTAGATTAAGGATCATAGAAACTATACCTGTTCTCTGTATTCCTTTCTCTTTTTTTACTGTCAGTTTCCTCTCTGAAAGGTCAATAGCCAACCATCCATTTGTCAAGAGCAAATATAAAGCACATTCTTAAGAAAATTGCCAAATGAGGACACCAAGATACCTCCCAAAGTTTTAATCTGAGCCTGAGCAGAGACAGCACTTGGAAAAGCATATGTCTTCCTTCCTCAAAGTTATTAAGATTATCAGTTAATATCAATATGTCTCAATTAGGCATCTGAAACAAAGCAAGACCTAAGCACAAAGGAAATAGAATTTAAGAGATGCAAATTAAGAGATGCAAACACGCCCTACTCTCTTCAAAGTCTTCTCCTTAGGAGAGAAGTGGGGGACACTTTCCTTCATTTCATTCTTATCTCTTCCTTTTAAGGTAAGTCTACATGCTCTCAGACTCTGCACACCACTTTATTTCAATGCCTTGCCATGCAGGTAAGACAATTTCACACAAAGCCCATGAGATGCAACTACTATGCAGCCTGTTACCACAACACATCCTTCAATCTCACCTGCATTTTTCAGAGGGAACAAATGCAAAAACAATTCCTGCTTATCAGGACAAAGTAAAAAATGTGAAAATGCCACACAAAAGGTGCATTTGGTATGCACCTTTTATGATAATTAGCGCCCATCATTTAAAAAAATCTCAATCACTGCCCCTAACATTATAATAAATACATAAAAATAACTAAGGAAGACCCACCATTCATCCCATTGTAGAGGCCCCTATGATGGGGTGACAGATCATCTGCAGCTTGTCTCCTTAAGGTGCCTTCTCTGCTGCCATTGCCCAAATGTTTGAGGTGCTCGGGACTTCCCCCGTAATGCTGTTTGAGATGCTCAGGACTTGTGCCCCTCACTTTTTGGAGGTGTTCTGAGCTTCCACTCAGAGCATGCTTTTGATGAAGTTCAGGGCTTCCGCTGCTGCTGTGCTTTTGATGTTCTGGACTGCTCCCAGGCCTATGCTTTTGAAAGTGTTCTGGGCTCCCGCTCAACATGTGCTTTGGCAGTGTTTCTGGACTGCTACAACTGTGCTTCTGCTGCTCTGAAGTACCTTTGGTTAGGGTTTTATGATGCTCTGGACTTGGTCCTTTCAGATGCTTCTGGTGGTCAGGACTTCCAGAACTTCGAGGTTTGTGGAGGTGGTCAGGGCTAGCACTCCTGTGCTTTTGATGCTCAGGACTTCCCTCACTCCTTGTTTTCTGGAGATGCTCAGGACTTGAGCTTGAATGGTGCTTGTGGTGATCAGGACTATCAGTGCTCCCAGTACTGGAGGTACTACTCCCATCTCCAACATCTCTTATGAATGTACTTGTGGCATTTAATTGGCAAAGACTGGCTTGACTATCTATTGAATTTCGGCAGCCAGCAACCCCACCCTTTTCTTCATCCAACAAGACACAAAGCTCCTTCAGCTCCAAGTTTTCCTTCACAACTTCTTCCTGCCTTACTTCCAGTTCCTTCAGCTTTTGCAAATATAAGGCAACCTCTTTATGCATCATGCTAGCGCTATACCTCCCAAGCCTCTGCCATTCGCGGGATACTTTTTTGCCTTTCTGCCGGTCATCATCCAAGAAGCAACAAAGGTCTCGCAGCTCCTGGTTGTCTTCCTGCAATTTCTGATTGATGTCCTACAAAACACAAGAAAAAAACAAATCTAATCAACATTTGCATAAGGTAACATTGTAACAGCAGAAATAGTTTACGTTAGCAATGCTGCATTTATTCAAGGCCTATGCACGATTGCTGAATATTTAAATTCTTAGGTACTATGTCCGTTCTTTTTGGAAATCTTATTTTCTCTCATGAACTATTTTACTTTCTTTCTAAATCATTATTTCTTGTCTTTCCTAATTTTAGTACAAAGACAATTGTACTTCCCCCATAACAGGGAAGTTATGGTCCTCCAGCCACTGCTGAAGTACAACTCCCAGCAGTGAAACCAGCATGAATGAACCTGGGATCTATAGTTTAATGGCATTTAGAGAGGCACTTGTTATTTTATAATACTAATATTATATGTGTCTCACAAGAAACTCTGGGCAGCGTAAAGAAAAATTGAAACAATCAGTCAGTCAAGCAATGATCAATTTCTACAGCTACTCTTTTCAATCCAATTGACCCTGGCATCTACCGTATTTTTCGGAGTATACAGGCGAAACTCGAAAAATTAGAATATCATGCAAAAGTTCATTTATTTCAGTAATGCAACTTAAAAGGTGAAAATAATATATGAGATAGACTGATTACATGCAAAGCGAGAGAGTTCAAGCCTTGATTTGTCATAATTTTGATGATTATGGTTTACAGCTCATGAAAACCCCAAATTCACAATCTCAAAAAATTAGAATATTACATGAAATCAATAAAACAAGGATTGTACAATATCGGACCTCTGAAAAGTATAAGCATGCATATGTACTCAGTACTAGGTTTGGGCCTCTTTTGCATCAATTACTGCCTCAATGTGGTGTGGCATGGATGCTATCAGCCTGTGGCATTGCCAGGGCCGGATTTTCCTATAGGCTAACTAGGCTTCAGCCTAGGGCCTCAAGATCAAGAGGGGCCTACATTCAAATTGTTAGCAAAATTAAAATTACACTTTCACTATAGGTGAAAGGACCTCATAAGTGGAATAGCCTAGGGCCTCTTTTCATCTAAATCCGGCCCTGGGCATTGCTGAGATGTTATGGAAGACCAGGATGCTTCAATAGCGGCCTTCAGCTCTTCTGCATTGTTCGGTCTCATCTTTCTCTTGGCAATGCCCCATAGATTCTCTATGGGGTTCAGGTCAGGCGAGTTTGCTGGCCAATCAAGCACAGTAATCCCATGGTCAATGAACCAGGTTTTGGTACTTTTGGCAGTGTGGGCAGGTGCCAACTCCTGCTGGAAAATGAAGCCAGCATCCCCATAAAGCATAAAAGTATGACAAATCAAGGCTTGAACTATCTCACTTTGCATGTAATGAGTCTATCTCATATATTAGTTTCACCTTTTAAGTTGCATTACTGAAATAAATGAACTTTTGTACAATATTCTAATTTTTCGAGTTTCACCTGTAAGCAGGATGGATCAATGATTTTTTTAAAAAAATCAAAAAAATCGGATTTTTTTGATTTAAATCAGATTTTTTTTATTTAAATCGGATTTTTTTGATTTTTATCGAATTTATTTTAATAAAAAACTTTGGGGGTAAAAATCTATCGTAAGATAGTTTTCTATTTAAGATACATAAATAATTTAGTTTATTCAGCATGAAATGGAGCTTAGTTATGTAGCATGAGGCTGTATATTCTGCAACACTGGGACTATCGGTGAGTCAACAGTGGGTCAAAGGAGTAGCAGAGATGACAGTTGCTCTTTAAAAATTATGATTTAAATCGAGTTGATTTAAATCAAGCCTTTTTACTAGTGATTTAAATCATGATTTAAATTGTGATTTAAATCAACTCGATTTAAATCAAATCCACCCTGCCTGTAAGATGCACCAAAATATAAAATGCACCTTAGTTTTTGGGGAGGAAAATAAGAAAAAAGCTGATTGGCGGGTGGATCAGCCTCCCGGAATACCCCCAATCAGCTGTTCCCAGAGGTGAATTTTAGCAACAGGTTCGTTGGTTGTGAGTTCTTGCCTTGTTTTTGTTTTTGTTTTTTTTTTGCTTCTTTTTCTGCCTTTGAAAGCCTCCGAAACAGAGTTTCAGAAAAAAAGCCTCTGAAGCTCTGTTTCTGAGGCTTTTTTTCTGAACCTCTGTTTGGAGGCTTTTTTTCTGAAGTTCTGTTTGGGGGCTTTTTTTCTGAAGTTCTGTTTGGAGGCTTTTTTTCTGAAGCTCTGTTTGGACGTTTTTTTTTATGAACCTTCAATTCTGATGCTTTTTTCAGCCTCTGATGCTTTTTTCAGCCTCGGGAACCTCCGTTTGAGAAGCTGGGAAAAGAAGATTCCAACAGTGTGAAATGCCTGCCACCTAGGACCCATAACCTGTAACATGCCTATTCTGTTGGATCTGATGGGACAGGCGAATGAAATCAGGGAAAGGCAGTCCCTCAAATAATCTGGTGCCATGCCATGTAGGGTTTTAAAGGTCAACACCAGCACCTTGAATTGGACCTGGAAACAAACTGGTAACCAATGCAGCAAAGATTAGCTAATAGACTGCAAATTCAATTTTTTTTAAATAACATTTTCCCATATAGGCTAAAATATTAGCAATAAATGTTGGAATGTATATGAATGTTCTAAATTATAAAGATAATTTTCTCCCACCAGAAAAAAGTGTGTTTTTTTTTTTTTGCATAAATCATTACATATATTATAATTACATTTAGATGAATATGCTCCATTTTCTCCAGTTCTATTGTGTTCCAGAATCAAAGAAATAAAAACTTAAGTGCAGGATATGCAGAGAGCATAATAGTATTTAAACTGAAGACAGCCATATGTTGGTGGTTAAGGCACCAGACTAGAAATTAGGAAACTGTGAACTCTGAATTAGACACAGTCAGTTGGGTGAGTTTGAACCAGTAACTTTCTGTCAACCCTAGGAAAAAGACTATAGCAAGCCATTTCTGAAATATTGCCAAGAAAACTTCAGGAAATTTTCCAGGCAGTCAATATTGACTCAAAGGCACACCCCACACCGCAAAATACCATATTTAAACTGAAAATATATTTTCTTACAATGGAAGAACAAATTCTTATGTGAAGATAAATCTGTAATATGAGCTTACTATTAAGTTTATCACCAAAAGTTATCATTATTCCAATGACATCCACAACATAGTTGCAGAGCTACATCTACTAAATCTACCTATTCCTTCAACATATTCAACAAGACTCTTAAAAAGCATGTGTGTGAGAGAGAGAAAGAGATGGGGGAGAGAAAGGGAGAGGGAGAGGGAGAAGGAGAGAGAGAAAGAGAGAGAACATGTAGCAGCAGACTGATCTCAGGATAAAAATCTAGAGGTCTCAAAAGTCTACCTTAAGACCTCTGGATTTACACACCCTAGTCCAATTATGGTATTTCCTTATGGTATTAATTGCTACTATCATTTAATTTCCAGAGGACCCTTCATCTGGTGTCTTCCTTAACTCCAACATTTAAGAGAGAGAGGGCCCCAGAGCAAACAGACAGCATTAAAACAAACAGAACTTTTTTATTTATAGAAATAGATTTATTTATTTTTTTGCAATGGAAAATATACAGCAAAAGATAACCTTCTGACAGACCTGAAGTCAGATGCTGGCCACCTTCCAGTTTACAGGCATATAAATTCTGATGTGCACATAAAAATACTATCAGTGATCTTGTACAGAATAGTTGCCAGAGACAACGCAGCATTAACTAGCAGATACAGAAGAAAAAGGAAACTCAGTACTTAACTTTTTTCTATTCCTCTAGAGAAAAAAACTCTTGAACAGATGTTATCTCTGTGCAATTGTTGGAAAATCCTTCTTTCTGCAAAGTCCAACTTCAACCAGAAGTTAGAGAAGAATCTTAGTGCTCTTTTTCTCCCCAAAGCTTTGGCACTGATTTTCTTTTTTTTCCCCAGAGTTCTGACTGCACTTTCCAAAAGAACAAAACAAAGAGGGATGGGGCATATCTCATTTTGCTACACATCAAAGTAAGCATCTCTCCCTCAAGGAAATGTTGGTTCAAATCTTTGAGGTAGCAACTTGCTGCCTGGCAGGCAGACTGCAAGGAGGAGGAATTGTAGATTACCCATTCAGTACTGCATTTAAAACTAAGGCTGGGACGTCTGCTTAGAACGGCATTTACTTTGCCAGATGGTAACAGAGATGAGATTCTACAGGTAGTTCTCATTTTATAACCATTCACTTAGCAACTGATTGAAGTTACGATGGTAAAGTGACTTAAGACCAATCCTTGCACTTTGCAGAATTCCTGCAGTCACGTGATCAAAATCTAGACATCTGACAACCAACATGCTTTTTAAGATGGTTGCTGCATCCCAGGGTTATGTAACTATCATCTGCAACCTTCCCAGGTAGCTTCTGACAAGCAAAGTCAATGGAGAAAGCCAGATTTGCTTAATGACTGTGTGATTCACTCAATAACCATGGTGAATCACTTGACAACTATGAAAAAAAATATATAAAATTGGGCACAATTCATTTCTCTGAGTGAGGGTGCCTTTCCTGCCGCCTTGAAAGAGGCGGTAGTGAGGCCCCTCCTCAAGAAGCCTTCCCTGGACCCGGCTGAATTAGCCAACTATCGTCCAGTCTCCAACCTTCGTTTTGTGGCGAAGGTTGTTGAGAGCGTGGTGGCACGACAACTTCCCCGGCACCTGGATGAAGCTATCTATCTAGACCCGTACCAGTCGGGCTTCAGGCAGGGGTACAGCACTGAAACGGCATTGGTCGCGTTGGTGGATGATCTCTGGAGGGCTCGGGACAGGGGTTGCTCCTCTGTCCTAGTCCTATTAGACCTCTCGGCGGCTTTTGATACCATCGACCATGGTATCATGCTGCAGCGGTTGAGGGGGTTAGGAATAGGGGGCACCGTTTTGCGGTGGTTCTCCTCCTTCCTCTCCGACCGCTCGCAGTTTGTGTTGGCAGGGGGACAGAGGTCGACCTCGAGGCATCTCGCATGGGGAGTGCCGCAAGGGTCGGTCC